CCTTTCCAGACTTGCCTTTAGATGACTGTTTTGAAGCGACCTTCGATGTCGATCTCGTCGGTATCGAAGCTCCGGTATCGACGGCTGCACGTGAGGTAGAAGGTTGGTCCGCCATAGCAGAAGGCGGGTGAAGCGCGGATTCCAACAGAGCGACCTTTAACCGTGCGGCACGGTTCTTTTTCGTCTGATTAGAAAATTTAGCACAATGCTTACAAGTATCTGCTCTGTGTGACTCGCCTAAGCAGAACAAACAAAGTTCATGGCCATCTGGAGGGGCCAATTTACTTCCACACTTCTTACAGCGGTTGAAAAAGCCCCACTTCTGACTCTTCTTCTTTTTCTTTTCCATACGGTGGGAAGAGATGCCGGGGAAAAGTGAAGAGGGAAGGGGGGGGGAAGGCCCGAAGGCCTGAGGAGATTCCCCTCAGGAAAACAAAAGTTCTCGTTTTTTCTTCTTCTTTTTTTTTTTTTTTAAGAAAACTGAAGTAAATAAATTAAAACGGAGGATGATCCTAAGAAACAAAGGAAGAAGGCAAAGGCCCGAAGGCAGTAACAGCTATCCGGTCAGGAGGAAAGGCAAAAAGGTCCTTTCTACGCGGCGGTAGAGAGAGAACTGGCGGGATCTCCGCGCCCGTCCCTCTGGGCATGCGCGCTGGGGTTCCTGCGCATGCTCAGTGGGACTCGCGCGAAAATCCTTTGAAACATAGCTTGCTACAGCACCGGTCGGGTCAGCGCAGGCGCACTAAACCCATTGGTGTGAAGCACAGAGACCACGAAGAAGATCGTGTCTTGTCTTGAAATCCCTACTGGAGTTGCCGTAGGTCGGCTGCGCCTTGATGCCCCCCCCAAATGCATGTACTGCTCCCCTGAATGTGGCCCCAGGTCTACTGCCTCTCCACAGACACACCCACCCACCAGTGTTCCCTCTCAGCTGAGTTAGTGTGAGCTAGCTCACAGTTTTTTTAGCCTCCGGCTCACACATTTTTTGTCTCAGCTCAGGAAGGATGGGGCTCCAGAGCACACTGATTTATGCAGCAGCCGAATTGCTCGCTCACCACTTTAATGCCAGGAGCTCACAAAGTAGAATTTTTGCTCACAAGACTCCACAGCTTAGAGGGAGCATTGCTCCAGAGCAAACTGATTTATGCAGTAGCCAAATTGCTTGCTCACAACTTTAATGCCAGTCGCTCACAAAGTAGAATTTTTGCTCACAAGACTCCACAGCTTAGAGGTAGCATTGCTCCAGAGCAAACTGATTTATGCAGCAGCCGAATTGCTTGCTCACAACTTTAATGCCAGTCGCTCACAAAGTAGAATTTTTGCTCACGAGACTCCGCAACTCAGAGGGAGCATTCCCACCCACCACCACAACTCACCTGGAGGGTTGCTGCTGGGCTCCACCTCGGGGGCAGCACTGGTCAATGCGAGAGACGACGCCGGCCCGTCCCCAGGCCCCGCCGCCTCGTCCATCATCTCGTCCTCCTTCTGCAGGCTCTCCGGGTTCTCCCCTTCCCCTTCCTCCTCCTCTTCCTCTTCCTCCTCCGGCTCAGAGTTCTCCTCCTGCGAATTCTCCTCCTCTGAGTCGCCCTCTTGGCTCAGGCGCCTCTCGGAGGCCAGCCAGGTCAGCTTCTCCATGGTCTCCTTCGGGACGAGAGAGACCCCCCCAAAAAAGACCTTTCAGCTCTCCCACCGGCCCAAAGGACCCCAGGCCAGCCCTTCACTTCCTCCCAAGCACATGGCCCAGTGTCAAGGCTTCAGTGGCGTTTCTCTTTGCTTTGCTCTACTGTTCGCCTTGCCATGCTTTAGGGGGGGAGGGAATTCCTGAGGGGAGGGTGTGGGTGTGGGCTGAGGGCCTGCCTGTAGTAGCCATAACCATTTCTCAAGTTGCACCCCTCAGCCTGTTCTCCTCGGATTTGGCCTTGGAGGCTCTTTCACTAGGCTGGAGTAGATAAGACGCCATATATCTGTCAGGGTTGTCATAGAAACGCTATGACCCAATCTGGAATTGAATGACACACCAAAGATTTTTACTTGTGGGGCCACAAATGTATCTGGTCCTGTGTCAGAAGCAGTTGCATATACTGGAAATAATATTAGTACCTCTATGTATCTTCCAGTTTAGGTCCTAAGAGTGAAGTAAAATTGCCTTATCAGGGACGATGTGACATTTTTGGTCCTATATTAACTGTTTGCTGCCTTATGTGTGTAACAGGGACTTTGCTGCATGGTGTATTTTGCACTCTGTACGACTTGACCTCTGAAGAAGGCTCTCGTGAGCCGAAACACGTCTGGTCATGCACTGCTCTTTCTTGTGCATTTGTCAGTTTGGACATTTTACGAGGATTTATTTGGGCCCCTACAAGGTTTTTTTGGAGCTGCGGTGGCTCAAGTGCTTAAGACGCTGAACTGCAGGCTGTGGAAGGCCGGTAGTTCAGCCATTCGAGACCCGAGTGTGCCGCACGACGGCGTGAGCTCCCGTCTCTAGTTCCAGCTCCTGCCAACCTAGCAGTTCGAAAGCAAGAAATTGCAAGTAGATAAATAGGTACCACTTCGGTGGGAAGGTAACAGCGTTCCGTGCGCCTTGGTGTTTAGTCATGCCGGCCACATGACCACGGAAACGTCTTCGGACAGCGCTGGCTCTTCGGCTTTGAAACGGAGATGAGCACCGCAACCCTAGAGTCGGATTCGATTGGCTTTCGAGCAAGAGAACCTTTACCTTTACAAGGTTTTTATATGTATTTGAAATAAACACACTTTTGTCTATACCTATTTATGTTTTTAACTTTTGGCCCTTTACAAGTTTCCTAAACTTCCTTTGGAGATTTTTGTTTGTCCAGAAATGGGGGCCAATGATGGGAATAGACGGAACGGGACCAGAAACTATTTGGACCTTTTGCCCTTCGGTCACACAAGATCCCAACAGGGCGTTCTTTCTTACCCTGTGGACCAAGGCTTTAAATGCTTGTTTTTAGAACGAATTCCAGACAATGCAACGGATCCAACACTGTTGCAACACCCCCTTGAAAACACAGACGCGCCACACCACCCGGCAGCTGACGAGCAGCCTCAGTTGTGACTCTCCCGCCACCCCTGGCATCACCAAGGAAAGGGTGTCCCGATTCCCCAGACTAGCTCCCCATACCTGGATTTCCGTTTTCAGACAAAAAAAGGCTTTACCTGAAGCTCTGGAACGGACAGCACCGATTCCTCCGAAGCCGATGACATCTCGTCTTCCTCGTCTTGCGTGAGGTCGTCAAAGTCCTCCTCCTCCTCCTCCTCCGGACCGTCCTTCTCGCCCGTCGCCTCCCGGCCGGCCACCACTCCCGCAGCCGGGCCATCTGCACTGGGCGGATCCTCCGGCTTCACGGAGGGGCTCCTGGACTCTGCCTCGCCGGCTGCCGTGTTGGAGACGTCCTTGGGGGAGCCCCCTTCTGCCCCGGCAGCCGTGCCTCCCGGGCGCTGCCCCCCCATCTCAGCAGCGCTCCGCTCGTCCTTCGTTTCCTTCGGCTCGCTTGCGCCCTCCGGGGTGGGATCCACATCGAGTTCCTGTCCCAGACCCAGCACCAGCTCCTCTTCAACTGGAGCAACTACGGAACTTGTCTCTGCTGGAACCGGAGCCGCTTCTGGTGGGACACTGCAGAATTCTTCGGACTCAGCCTCCATTTTCTCTGCTAATTCTGCTAAAGGGGAGAGGTGGCCCTCGGCGGGCAACTCTGCGACTTTCTCCTTTGTCGCTTCCATGCAACCCTGGATAGAAGCTGCTGTTTGGCCCCCAACCTCTGGCTCAGAAGTCTGCGGGCCACGGTCCTCCTCAGCGGGCGTCGTTGCTCGCAAAGACGGCTCCCGCGGCTCCATCTGGGGTTCCGGAACGGGGCACCCGCATTCACCGCCCCCAGCAGCCAGGCTGACAAATTCAGTTCCTTTGGCAGACGCGGGAAAGCTGGGGGAGTTTGCCGGGACCACCAAGGAAGGGGAGGGAGAGGTCACGAGCGGCTGGCTGAGTGGGCAGGAGAAGGGGGCGGGGTTCACCAGCAGGGTGGTGATGGGAATGGGCTGCGTGGGGCCTCCCGCGACGCTAGCCAAGGGCTGCAGTACATTGCAGCCATTGGCGATGCTGACCGTTTTCACTGCGGCGGCAGGGACGGTGAAGACCACAGGAGCCGAGGGGAGCAGCGGAGCCGATTTGGGGCCCCTCTTCTTCTGGTACCTTCTGGGGGAGCTGGGCTTCCAGATTTTGGACACGGGGAGCACCGGGAGCATCATTTTGGGCTGAAAGGCGACGGGCACAGAAGAGATCAAGTTCTGGGGCACAGCAGCTGCCAAGCAGGGCCTGGCGCCGGAATGCTGAGCGGGGAGCAGGCCCCGGAGCTCAAATCTGCTCCCGTTCGCCACAGCTGGCTGCAGGCTCACGTGCTGGACCCTGGGCAGGGGCTGGGCCACCGGTGCGGGCTGGATCCAGCGGGGGATGCGGGCGGCCATCTTGCTGGGAGGGGCTTCTGGCTGCGACTGCTTCGGGGTCACCTTCGGGCAGTTGCCGGCACCACCACTCCGGGCAGGGAGGGCCTTTGCGGTGGCGGGCCGCTGCCGCCTCCAGGACTTTTTGTAGAAGTGGCTGGGGAGCGGCCTCAGGATCAGTTCCAGCCCGTTAGGCGCATGCAGGGAATACTTCCCGTCCCTCATCCATTCTGCAGACTCTTTCACCGGCTGGCCAAGCTTGGAATCATCGGGGGACGCTTCTTCAGCACGCTGCTCCAGCGCTTCTTGGAGGTAAGGCAAACTGTCCTAGACGGAAGAGTCAGGGAGTTATGCACAAACCAAAAGAAAATATATGAACTTACAGGATGGGCAGGGAAACTGAGGACACGCAGAGATGTTCCACTTAACCTATCTGAAATGTATATGGACAGCTTTTCCAGTAAGCTCAAAGCAGGCTACCAGCAGAAGAAGAAGAGAAGAGATTGGATTTATACCCCGCCCTTCACTACCCAAACGAGTCTCAGAGTGGCTCACGATCTCCTTTCCCTTCCCCTCCCCACAACAGACACCCTGGGAGGTAGGTGGGGCTGAGAGAGCTCTGACAGAAATGGCTCTTTTTCAAGAACAGCTCTGCCAGAACTTGCCCAAGGTCATCCAGCAGGTGCAAGTCAAAGAGTGGGGAATCAAACCCGGTTCTCCCAGATTAGAGTCCGCACATTTAACCACCACACCAAAACCTCCTACCAAGTAATTTCTGCATTGTTCACCGTGTCTTGTTTAACTGCTTATGCTTTATTTCAGCTCTGTATCAGACTGCGGCTAGTTTTCAGATTTCTGTAATCCATAAGAACGTAAGAAGAACCCTGCTGGATCAGATCAGTGGTCCATCTAGTCCACCATCCTGTCTCACACAGTGGCCTCAACCAGTTCCTCCGGAGGGCCAACAACAGGGCACAGAGGCCGAGGCCTTCCCCTGATCAGAACGTCAGAAGAGCCCTGCTGGGTCAGTCCAGTGAGGGTCCATCTAATCCAGCATCCTGCCTCACACAGTGGCCTCAACCAGTTCCTCTGGAGGGCCAACCACAGGGCAGAGAGGCTGAGGCCTTCCCCTCATAAGAACTTCAGAAGAGCCCTGCTGGATCAGACCAGTGAGGGTCCATCTAGTCCAGCATCCTGCCTCACACAGTGGCCTCAACCAGTTCCTCTGGAGGGCAAACAACATGACATAGAGACTGAAACCTTCCCTGATAAGATCAAAAGAGCCCTGTAGAATCAGACCAGACGTCCATCTAGTCCAGACTGCCCTTACGGCATCACGCAGGTTCATGTGTCCAAACGGGCAAACAGAGACGAGCGGCCTCATTCGATACGAAAAGGAAGTACCTTCAACCAGGAGGGTAAGAGATGCTCCTCCCTCTCGATGGGAGGCTTCCGGTCGCCGGGCTGGATCTCCTCGCAGAGCGGAGATAGAACAGGCAACTGCTTCGTCTTCTTGTAGTACTGAGGACGAGAGACAGAGAGAGAGGCGGTGGCCATGAGCAAGTGCGCAAGGCCCTGCACCAAATCCTGCCCTTCAGCTCAGTGGCTCTGCTCTCTGTACCCGGTGAGCTTCCGGCACTATCCCCGGGGGACCGGCTCCTAAGGAGGAAGGTCTGCACGGAGATCTAATCTAGGGAAATTCAATTCTGGGGGGCTGGGGGGAGTCCCGGGCAGGGAAGGGCAGTTTTCACTTGCTTGTGAGTGTCCCCTTCCTCCCAGGCAGCTCTGAGGCGCTGCCCTCCACCCCTCGGCAAGCCCAGCAAGGGCAGGGCTAAGCCCCCTTCTGGGTACTGCGTCCGTAATCCCGCCTTTGGCTGCAGACGCCTCCAAGCGACAGCGCTCTTGGTGTCCTGGAGCTACAGCTGTTAGATGCAACACCTAAGAAAAGCTGCATCAGAATCAGACCAGTGAGGGTCCCTCTAGTCCAGCATCCTGCCTCACACAGTGGCCTCAACCAGTTCCTCTGGAGGGCCAACAACAGGACAGAGAGGCCGAGGCCTTCCCCTCATAAGGACATCAGAAGAGCCCTGCTGGATCAGACCAGTGAGGGTCCATCTCGTCCAGCATCCTGCCTCACACAGAGGCCTCAACCAGTTCCTCTGGAAGGGCCAACAGCAGGGCAGAGAGACCGAGGCCTTCCCCTCATAAGGACATCAGAAGAGCCCTGCTGGGTCAGACCAGTGAGGGTCCGTCTAGTCCAGCCTCCTGTTTTACACAGTGGCCTCAACCAGTTCCTCTGGAGGGCCAACAACAGGGCAGAGAGGCCGAGGCCTTCCCCTCATAAGAACATCAGAAGAGCCCTGCTGGATCAGACCAGTGAGGGTCCATCTCGTCCAGCATCCTGCCTCACACAGTGGCCCCAGCCAGTTCCTCTGGAAGGGCCAACAGCAGGGCAGAGGGGCCGAGGCCTTCCCCTCATAAGAGCATCAGAAGAGCCCTGCTGGGTCAGACCAGTGAGGGTCCATCTCGTCCAGCATCCTGCCTCACACAGAGGCCTCAACCAGTTCCTCTGGAAGGGCCAACAGCAGGGCAGAGGGGCCAAGGCCTTCCCCTCATAAGAACATCAGAAGAGCCCTGCTGGGTCAGACCAGTGAGGGTCCCTCTAGTCCAGCATCCTGTCTCACACAGGGGCCAATCCGTTACTCTGGGGGCCCAATAAACAGGGGATAGAGGCTGAGGCCTTCCCCCTCTGAATGCAGAGGTCCCCTTTAGTCACCATAGCGACTAGCCGCTGACAGAATCTATCTAATCGCCTTTTAAAACTGTCCATGCCTGTGGCCGTCACTACATCCTCTGGCAGCGAATCCCACATTTTTAATCACTCGCTGGGTAAAGAAGGATTTCCTTTTGTCTGTCCCGAATCTGCCCTCGAGTTCTAGGACTTTGGGAGAGGGAGAAAGGAATGCCAGGAACGGAGGGCAGGTCCCACCCTCTCTCTGCTCTAGATGGGGGGGGCACGACTGGGGGGCCCACGCCTGCCGCTCCTCTCACTCACTTTGATGACGTTGTCCGGGGCCCGGTTCATGGTGAAGTTCTTGATGTGCACCATCAGCTGGTGGGCGGTTTTGGTGGTCAGGAGGTACTTGCTGATCAGGGGCTTCGGGAACTCCGTCCCTTCGAAATGCTTCAGTCCCAAAGCTAGCAAGCTGGAAAAGTGGGGAAGCGTTTGAATCTGTTCGACAGGCAGGAGCTACAGCCGGATTAATATCTTACTGAGAGACCAGGAATAAAATTATAGGCGAAGAGGACTGGTGTAAAAGTTTCTACTTTTGAGAAAAGCACGGGCAGGTCGCGACGTTTGCAGCGAGCCACCGCATGAAGTAAACTCTGGAACCTTCCCTTTAGAAACTGTTTCCCCCACTTTTGAGACGTTCCTCAGGTGTAAACCTTCAGTGGTGGACCTTTTATTACACAAGTATTTATTATTCGCCTCTGGAGGCGTATCCTGCAGGAA